ATATATATATATATATACAGTACAGCAAGCTTACTTTGCCAATTGATGAAGCGGACGTCATCTAGACTGCACTGAAGGGCTCCTAGAAGCGAGTCCGTGGGAAGATCCGCTGCCTAAAGTAAGAATATAAACGCTCAAGATGTGATTGATCACTTGAAATAAACTTACTTGTTCACAATGTGCTACAAGCTTGGTACTTGCTTCTCCTATTAATTGTGTAAGAAGCGACTGATTCTGATCCGACATGCTGTAACCCCGTCGATGACCTCGCAGATCTGTGCCTGGCTCTTGTAAGGTGTTGTCGCCTTCGTTGTTTTGCATATTAGCAAAAGTATTACTCTCTTCTTCCATATGCAGCTGTAAAGGACAGATGAATAACAGTGTTCGCTTAAAATCAAAAAACCTTACCTTCAATATTTTCAAGGCATCATTGCTGAGAATGCGACGAAGCATATGTGCTCGATGTACTCCATCAGCTATTGTAAGACATGCGTCGCGATTTTGCGCTGTCCATGATCCCTAAAAGATTCTCCGTTCAACAAATCTTCATGAAGTTGCAAAACTATTCACCTTCAGATCGTGAACAGTCAATCGATGCTGGCTTGAGTCTCGACCTTCACTATTCTCTCTTATATAAGAGACACGAGTAACACCTAAAAGAAAGGTCGCTTCATCGTTCGATAAACCATCAGCTGACGGAGCATGACCATGGCTATAAACATGAACCTAGAATTGTATTTATTGGCGAGCAAGGCGGATAATTAACAAAATACTCTACCTTGGTTCCCCACAAGGTTGCAGATATATGTTCCGAAGCCCACGCATAGACCTTGCGGCGTGTAATACCCTTTAAAGTAATAATATATACCAGGTACAAAAGCAAAATAACCTTTGACACCAGAACGCGAGAAGTAATTGTCAGCTGTCGATTTCCAATTTGATGCGTGGTACGCAATAATTCCAAGTCCAAAGCAAAGTTTATTATACCTGTTCGCCAGCAGCTTGTGCCACCAGCTTCATAGAAGCCAAAAGGTTTAAACCGTCTGATATGAGGCGAAAACCGTAGTCAGATGAGTGCGACATCCAATATGTAATGTAAAATTTCGGAAAATTCAGCGAAACAGTAACATTCCTAAACAAAACCATGTTTTAAAGGGAAGAAGAAAGTTGATCACAAACCTAAAGTGTTTTCCGAGCTGAGGCTTAGGGTGAGGTGGCGTTCCAAA